GGATCACTGTAAACCATAAATGTCTCAGCAGACTTTCCTTTGCTCTCCCCATTTCAATCCAGAGATGTTGCCAGCTGCAGGGTCAGAAGCACTGTGTGGGAGTGGTGACTGGGCTTCTCAAAGTGTTCATTTTTGACATTGTTTTGTTCCCTTGTTACCCTGCTCCAGTACCAGCTGCTTGGAAAGTCTGAGAATAAAATTAAGTACAATAACCATAAACTCAATCCTTTCTTATTTATGCCTTCTATAGTAAGGGAGAAATTAAATAAAAGCACATATCATTTAGAAAAAAAAAAAAAAAAAAAAAGGCAGCTTGACTTCTAGGCAAGAAGCCAAGATTTTATAGAATAAATTTACTATATGTACCCTGAAGTTTAGAACAGCAATGCCAAGCATCCCCCTGCTATCTCTCAGGCTTGGGGCTTGGGCTGGGAGGTGACCAGAAGCCCGATTCTCTGTGATGTGTACAGTCTTCATTTAAGGAAAAAGTAATTTAATACTTTGCCTGCCTTATCCTCCTGTGCAACTTCATTTCTCATTCTGCTCTGTAATGTTCTTTCTCCTTGGTTGATCGCTTACTTTTGTACTTCAGACATGAAAATTAAGTTCTTTGGTATTCTAGTGAGGTTTGCTTCAGCCTAACCTTTCTTGTTCACCTTGGTGTGCAGCTTGCCTGCCCTCTCTCCCATTTCAGAAGTTTTGTCACCCCTGTCACTTAGGTGACATGAACGTTCAGCATAGAGAGCAAAGGATCTCTGGCTGCTGTGATGCTTTCCTTACAGCTGAATTCTGTCTTTCTCAGACACCTTTCTTGGAATCTGTCAGATTGTCTTTAAACCTTCCCTGATTTTTAACTTTTTTTCTGAGGCTGTCTGATCCCTAGCAAGTATAGATGATAAAAATCACAGTTTTTTTGGTTGGCATTGTGAAGTGCTTGGAGACTTGCATAAAAATGTAGCAGTACTTCCAGTGCTGACAGTCCTGTCAGGTAGTATCCAGTGTCCTGGATGCCAGATTCCTAATGACTCAAATCTTTTTCCTGTGAAAGTAAGGAAAGAGTAATTTTTTCACCATGGATAGAAGACACAGCAGAAGTCTTTCAGTAGCCACCTGAATGTGAGATTCATCAGAGGAGTTAAAATGGAATAAGAGGAAGTGATCTGATCTGTGGTTGCAGATGGGACAGAGGATAGGGGACCACTCAAGAGGTTCCCAAGAACTGTGGAGAAATATTCCTGGAACTTGCTGTGGGTGTTGGAGAAAATTGCCTGTAAAATGGAGAGTGGCTTAAAGGCAGCGGGATGAGGGCTTTAGGACAAAGGAGAAACAAGATCTAAGTTGGGAATGAAGTGCAGAGGGCTTGAGGGCAAAAATATTTCAGAGGGACAAGAGAAAGTGAAAGCTTGAATCAAAGCAGCTGAAAGGTTGCCTTTAATATCTGCTTAGATCAAAAACTAAAAGTCTGTATGGATTAAGAGATAATCGACTAGGTAGATTTAATCTGCCACGTGTATTGCTTCTCCAAAGAAAAGCATTGGGAGGGGAAGATTGATTTGGCTCAGTGCCCAGCATTTGAAGGTAGGTGTTGTAGTCTCCTTTTTCCACAGACCCCCCCCATTTCACTTGTCCTGAATGAAGCACATGCTGCTGAAAGGGAGGGGCTGTCACTGTAGCCTCCTGCTCCTTTGCAACTCCAGAGTCGTACTGAATTTAACTAAAGGCAGTTCTCAAGCAGAGAAGAGCACCGAGAGCAAAGTAACACAACAATGACTAAGAAAATAGTCCTGGGGTAGGTTCAGATGCTCATTGTGGTTTTGGCTGCTTGAGCAATGGGTTCTGAGAGGTACTACTGGGCCACTGTATTGGAACTTAATCCCTCTCGTCCTGATTGTTCTTGTCCTCCCTTTAATGGAGGTTAAGGCCTGAATGCCACCTTTCCTCCAGCACTGAAATCCTCAGGAATTCCTTCCTGTTTCATTTCTTTACAAAAACTGGTTGAGTCCTTTGAGTAAGTTCAGTTTCCACAGCAATAGAAATAGTTGATCAAACATGAGGAGGTTTTCTCCATGTATTTTTTTCCAGTAAGGATATGGTATATTGTCTCTTCTAACTAACACATCTAGCTCTATCCTGAACTGTTCATGCATAACAGTCATGCACTTCTAGGAGCCTGTACATGTGATAGAATTTGGATTAGTTGGATTGAGGGGATTTAATTTTTTTTCAAAGTTACCTTGTTCAGCAACAAATAAATCTGTAGACTGATAGGTATTCCTTCTGTGTTGTGGGCTTGCATCTGTGCGACCTCAGGTGAAGGTTTTTGGCAGATCTCATAAGGTCAGTGGGATTTGGCCTGTCAAATCCTAGAACAGGATTCAAAGCCCCAGAGAAAGTACAGAGTGCCTCAGAGAAGATTCGTCATGGTTTGAAATACCTGAGCTGGCACTGGACAACTTCCCCAGCTTGTGCTGGGAGCGTGCAGCCTGCCTGATATGGTCTGCTTTCACTGGTGATATTTGGTGGGCAGTGGGGATAATGTGGGGCAGGAAAGAGAGTGAGGGAAGTGTTTGACTGCCTCACTGGACCCACTCACATTCATTTAGTGAAAGGGAGGAGAGCACTTACTGGTTTCGAGGCCTCAGCTTACTTAACTTTTTGCTTAGCACTTCCTTCTGGGAGAGAAACGTGCCTTGTCAGATCCTGAAAATTATGTCTGGAAGTCAGCAGGGTACTGGCTAAAAGGCAATTGATACCTCACTTTTATTTGGAGCTTCAGGAAAGCTTTGTGGAGTTCTTCTAGAAGAGAGGTCTACTCTCAGGTGAGAGAGAAAATTGCATCATTGATTTGAGGGAGAGCAGCAAAGCAGAAATAAATGACTAGGTTTTTTCAGCTTTGAAGGAAGTAAAAATAGTCAAATGCCCCTAGGGAGCAGTACTGGAAATCGTGTCAATCAATACAATTATGAAACCTGTAGAAAAGAGGTGAACTGTGAGGTGGGAAAATTTGCTGGTGAGAGCAGTTAGGAAAGATTTAGGTCCTTCAGAGGCATCTCAGACTTGAACAAAACAAGACAATGGGACAGCCCTGTGACACATGAGATTTGCTGCAGACAGGTGCTAGGAAATGCACACTGAAAGGAACAACAGAAACTACTCTGAGAACCTATCAAGTGTATAAGTGATGTGGACTACTTACTCCACTAAGGCAGAGGGAGGGTGTGGGAAGGAAATCATGAACAGATTTGTACTCAGTGTTGGTACAAAATACAAGCTGTTAGACTGTGTTTAAAATAAAATGGGGTAATGGAGAATAATTTTGAGAGGGAGAATCTCATGAGATTCAATTTTGCTCATCTCCCACTCCAAACAGAATAAGGTAGAAACAGGCTGTGTGATATCATGCCATATGCATAAGGAAGGGTTTTTCATGCCTCCAGGAAGAGGAGAACATGGCTATAAACAAACAGAAATACTTGAAGCTGTTTAGAGAAAGTGAGGGGTTTTTTTTCAGAATGGTACAAGGAGAATAGGCTGCTTGTACTTGCTGTTTTTCACTACCTGCATTGAGGGGGGCTTTCTGTTTCTATACTGTAATAGAGAATGCACTGCCCAAAGTTAAAATACTGGAAAAGAAGGATTTGGTACAGTTTGAAACTGGGAATCATGGATCACTACTGACCTCAAATTCATTACTGAAGGGAATTAGACACAGCAGAAAAAGAGCATGAGCACTCTCTCCTCAAAAGCAAAGAGAGACTCTTGGTGAAATTTAAAGACAGTACTTAAGATTGCTTTTTACAGGCACAGAATGATCCAGTGGAGCAAAATATTGCTGAAGTGGAGTGCTCTCTTTCCTAATAGCTTATGTTGCCATGAAAATATTCTTCCTTGGATTCACTGGAGGGGCAAAAGTTCAGAAGACTTTTCAGCTTTTGACCTTGTGGTTGGGGAGAATCTGCTGGTTATGCATGGGGAAGGAGGGCTTTTCTGAGAAGGTGACTCCAGGTTACCTGTAGCTGATGCTCTCTCCCAGCATCTCTCCTAACCTCTGGTTGGGCCTGTGTGACAGTTCCAGCAGTGTGGCAGCCACTCTGCAAGGCATGGAGGCAGTTTCAGTAATGCCCCTGGCTGCTAGGTGGGAGAGAAATGTGTCCACAATGTGAATGCAGAGGTATTTAGACACTGACTGCTCTCCTGTGCTGCCACAGAGTGCTTTTCACCTGAGTCCCAAAGCATTCTGATACTGATCTAGTGGTATGGTTTATCTGCACCTGGCAACTAAGCACCACACAGCCCCTTGCTCACCGTACTCCCTGCACAGGGAGGGGAAGGAGAACTAGAAGGGTGAAAGTGAGAAAATTCATGGGTTGGGATAAGAACAGTTAAATTATTAAAATAAAATATAAAATTGATAATAATATTGTAATATAAAGGAAAACAACCAAAAGCAGAGAGAAATAAAACACAAGAAAGACAAGCGATGCAAATAAAAGCAATTGTTCATCACCTCAAAGAAGGCTCCAGTCCCTGAGTAGCAGACCCCAGCCACGTTTCTCCCTGGTTTATAGGCTGAGCATGCTGCCATAGGGTCTGGAATATCCCTTGGGTCAGCTGGGATCAGGTGTCCCGGCAGCGTCCCCTCCCCAACTCCTTGTGGTAGGCCGAGAGGCAGAAAAGGCCTTGACTCTGTCTAAGCTCTGCTCAGCAATAATTAAATCACCCTGTGTTATCAAAACTGTGTCTGTTGTCAGTTTTCCATCTTTCTGTGCCTCAGACAGACACAGGAACATCATGCTGAGTCACGGACTGATCCTACTTCATGTTGGAGTACCTAAAGCTCTTAATGGGATGGGTACAAGTGTGTCTCCACCAGCACTGTTTTGCACTGTGAAACAACCCAGTCCCCTGAGAGTCACACCCTTCTCTGAGGGGCTGGGAACTGGCTGTTTTAAATAAAAAACACTGGTTCTGGATTCTTAAGAAGTGTTCTTGCCTCCTAGGATCTCTCAGCGGGTGGAGGCCAGCCGGGCACAGCTCCAGGCAATTGGGGAGAGAGTCACACTTGCCCAGGCCAAGATTGAGAAGATAAAGGGCAGCAAGAAGGCTATTAAGGTAGTGATTTCACTGAAGGCTGCATGGCCTCTTTTCTTCCTTTCTTTACTCCTGATGTAAGCTCTGGAGGAGAAAAGGTGCTCAGCTGCTGCCCACTCACCTCTCCATGCCTTGTTGCTGAGCAGGATTGTGGTGAGAATCCCATTCCTGACTCCAATTAATCCAATTAATGAATTTTGGACCCATGAGCCACACAGTTCCAGACTTTATGTAGCCTTTATAGGTTTCTGTCCCAGCTGCTTCCTGAGAAAGAGAAAAGGCGTGCTGAGCTAAGCCTAAAACCCTCACTTCAGGCTCATAGACACTTACTTGAATGAAAGCTGCTGTCATAGAGGCTCCCTTTAGTGCATCTTAATCCCATTGAGCCATGTAAAACTGGTGAAAATCTTTCTTTCTCCATTCTTGCCCCATTTTTTACAGTGTTTCCAACTCCTTTCCTGCCAGGAAGCCTTTTTGCCAGTGATCTAATACTTTTAGAGAGAGAGAAAAGCTCTGGCAATTCCAGTTTCAGAAGTGGCAGCCCATGCATGTTTGGGTCTGTGCACATTGCCCTTAGGAGCCTGTTGACCCCACAGCTGTCCATTCCCATGGGCAGCACAGATTGCATGTTTATTCCTCTCCATGTGTTTCTGTATGGTAGGATTGCCTAGTTGTTGGGAGTTTTCAGTCCCTCCTTGTTTCTCCGTAGGTGTTTTCCAGTGCCAAGTACCCAGCCCCTGAACGGCTGCAGGAGTACAGTTCAATTTTTGCTGGTGCAGAAGACCCAGCTAAACAGAAGTGGCCAAGACACAAGATTCAGAGCAAACACCGAATGCTGGATGAAAAAGCTCTGCAGGTAAGGAGGAGAACAGACCTTGGGAAGGACAAGCAAAGAGAACCTGGAGACCGTTAATCTCTTTGATAAAGTGGACCAGGGCTTTGGGACATAGGCTAGGAGTAGAACATATTTTCATTTGGCCTGTCAGTGGGGAGGGTGGGAGGTCAGGCTGGGAAGCTTGTGGAGATGCCAGTTGGAGAGGGCCATGTCTGTACAGGAGCTTGCCTGGGTGGCTGTCAACTGCCAGGTCTCTGGAGCAGTTCCATTTCCTGGAATGCTGCTGTTTCCTGCAGCTGTGCTGCTGGGTGCTGCTGCCTGGGCTTAAGATTTTGGCTGTGCGTAGTGGGGCAGCTGGGATCAAGCTCATAGTTGTTTCAGAAATAGTTTCTGAAGGCTCTGATACAACTCCTGGTGAGAAGGGAAAGGTAAGAAGGCTTGTGAGTGTGTCAGGAGAAAAAGGAGTCATTCATTAGAGTATTTTTCTGCCTCGGGAAATTGTTGCACTTGGGCATTGTCCCTGGGTTGGAAGGAGAGGAGGAAGAGTTGCCATGCTTTAAGTTTAAAAGTAGCTGTGTATGTGCTGTGCCAGGAGATGTGCTGTTCCTGGCAGGTTAAGGATCAATTTGACAACTTCCCTGCTTTCCACCCCTAAAGAGACCTCCTTCCTCATCCTGTGTGACTTGGCCAAAAATAAAGCTGCCACTGAATAATTTATCATGCTAAACTTTCCTGAGTGTTAATGGAGCTGAGACCTCGCACAGTGAGGTAGTTATGAATATTTCAGCCAGGCCAAGGAAGCAGGATTGCTGGCCGAATGGACAGCTGGCAAACTTGAGCAGGGCTCCTGCTTCCTTCCAGTCCTGGCAGTAGCACAGGCAGAGGTGCATGGGACGTGCTGGTGTCTCTTGCAGGGAGGCCAGTGGCCCCGTCCCACAGGAGTGTGGGGGAGCAGAGGCAGGCAGGGAGCAGACAGGGAGATGGGCTCCCACCCTGAAGGGCTGGTGCTGAACTTGAGCCCCTTGCACAGGGAAGGGTTTGAGAAGAGCATCAGCTGTTAAAAAGCAGTGTCCCACAAAGAGCAAATGGTGTGCCTGTTCAGCTGGCCTGCTGGCTCCAGCGGGCTCCACGTGACATTCCCCACAGCCATCTGCCTGGGATGCCACCTCTTCCAGTCCCAGTCAGTCTCTGTACCATTGCATGTTCCGCCCTTCGTGACTAAAGCTGCCATCAACACAGGGACTTTGTTTCAGGCCCTGGTGGATGTTTGTTGCTCCCCTCCTGCAACCCATCTTTTGATCCTCTTTTAGGACTGTTGATCTTTCTCTGGCTTTGCTGAGACTGCCTCATGCAGCAGTTGTCACTCTTGCCAAGCTGACGCACATGAGCTCCTGCAGCTCCTCTGTGGGGTGGGGGGATGCCGCTGTCAGCTGAAGCACGGAGGGGCTGATGTGCTGAATGGAGCTCAGTGTGGCCAAGCTCCAACCACATTCTAGGGGGACAGGCCTTCTCAGCCATAGTTGAGCACGGAGCCTGACGTGCCTTGCAGTAATGAAATGTGACAGGGAGAAGTCTAATGTTTGCATTTATGCTTTCCTCAATTATTCAGGGCTTTCAGCAGAGGCTCACTGCCCGTTTTCACTTCTATTGAGAGCCTCTTTGCAGTGAGCAGTTGCAGTGGCCTTTGCTAAACTCCACTTGCACACGTGCACACACTCTCTCATCAGGAAAGCAAACTCCGCTCACGTCAGTTTGAGGAGAAGTGGTGGCAGCCTGTGCACAGCCTTTAGGGTTTTTGCTCTGGGGGTAAGCAACTGAGTTGGAAATGTAGGATCAGCAGGGATCTGGCTGCAGTCCTGTGGGGATTCCCAGGCACTGGGCACTGCCTCTGTGGTGGGAGCTGTGTCTGGGTGCTGCACATGCCACTGAGGAGACTGGAAAACAGGGTGGGAGATACCGTCTGCTTGGGCTATGGAAGAAGTCCAAGCAAAAGTTACCATCCACTACTGGAGTAACCTTGCTAGGCTTCAAAAGTGTCAATAACTTGGCATGTCCTCGTGAATTCTGCCTGTCCCAGAGACCACCACAGGCATGTGGAGCTTAAACCAGGTTTTTGTCATTCGCTTATCTTGAAGTGCTTTCCCAGCTGGCCTCAGCACTCCACTGGTGTGTGGGGAGTGGATTTCTGGTACATCACACCAATTTCCATTGTAATAGTGTGTGTTTAATTAAACTGAAGAAAAGAGTGACTTTATATATGTTCAACTATAGGTTCTTAATAAGAAAAATGCCTGAAAATGCAGTGTGTCCTTGGGGGTGTGATCCTGCCAGGTGCCAGACCCCAGGCTGAGCATTCAAGTGCCCCCCCATCATTACTTCAGTATGTCAAGGTTGCCAAATTTTGGCTTAAGAACTTAATGTTCCTATAAGAAAACAAATTTTTACATGGCACCTTAGCTTGTGGAATTCACAGTTGCAGGATATTTTTGACAGTGTGTGGTTGTTACAAATTTCAGAACAGGTCTAGGTACTCGAGTAAGACTAGCACTTTGACGGCATTTAAATTAGGATTATATTTCACATTTCAGAATACTCATGCTTAGTGCTTTTATAACTGCCTTAGATGAGGTTTGTAAGTAAATGTAGGTAATGGTTGCTTTCTCACTACACCCTTAAAGTGATGCACAATCATCCAGTGCTAACTGAAATCTACAAAGAGAGAATTAAAAAAAATATATATAAATGACTTGAGGACTAAGTGTGTCTGAACAGTTCTAGCAAAAAAAGTCAGTACTTCCTCATGCTTAAAAAATTACACATTGGGAAATGAATATTAATGATCAAAAGAACTTTTACTTTTGAGCAGTTTTCTGCTTCTACAATCTCTAAGAATTTATATATTTTTGCCTATTTGCTTCTATAAAAAAATAGAAGGTGTTAATTTCAATGCATTTTTCACAAGTTGGAACCTGAATTAAATCAAAACGTTACAGATCCTTTCTTACAGCATTTTATAGTCTCAGAGCATCATACAAACTCTTAGTGGATTAACTGAACTGTGACTAAGCTATTTCCTTGGATTTCTGGCTACCAGATTCAAGACTGAAATTTTAATCAGCAGGAACTGCTTGTGTCACTGAGATGTGGTCTTAAAACTGAACCACCAGCGGTCTCCATTTCTCCCATACAAGTACAAGGAGGGAAGAGGGACTCAGAGAATGGGGTGGTGCGGGGATGTTGGAAATAGTGAAGCAGTAGGAAGCTATGGACAATATTTGGAGTGGTCATCCCTTGGTGGCAGAAGAAAGCCACAAGTGTGGCCAGTTATTTAACCTGATAAAGTGCCCTGGTTTCTCCTGGTATGAACATGTACAGCTGCTTGCCTTTGTTGTGAAGAAAAAGCTGTGAAGGGGCTGAGGAGGGGTCTACAGAGGGGTCTGAGGTGAGGGTTTGTTCATTCCAGACTGTCTCTATTAGGAACTGATGCCTTTCCTCCCTCTAGAGCAGAGTGCTGTGGGTGCTGAGCTTCATCCCCCAGAGCATGTGGCAGCGGGCACTGTCACGCCAGCTGGAACACCGGTCTGATGTGGGATGGCAATTCCCGTGCTCTGTGAAAGGCAGTTCAGATGTAATAAGTCCTTTTCGAAAGGGAGCTCTATATATTATGCATGAAGTTTTAGAACCAAGAGAGAGATTTCAGTTCATTAGAGTTGAAAACTCCTGCAAATCCCTCAGGCTTTGCAAAACCATCTGGCACACGTTCCACCCTGCGCACTCCTTTCTGCCTGATCTCTTGCCTAGTGCAGACACTCTGTTCTTTCCTAACCTCCTCTTCCTTTGCCTTCCCTGCCTACCCCACCAGTGCGATCCCAGCTCTTGAAACATCACGTGGAGGCAACAGAGGGGAGGTAATAGAGATGTGTGGGGAACTCTGCCTGAAATGAAAATGTAAATGTGTCGTAATTGGAGGCACTGTAACAAAAAAAGCCTTTTAGGTTGTGGTGCTTGATCCCTGCCTCCGACTACAGAGCTGGAGTGGTGGTTTTATCCTGGTGGATCCTGGCCACAGAACACGTGTTCAGTATGACCCACCCACAGCACCAAAAGCACTTGCTGTGAGTGTGAGCTGCTGACATTTGTCATGAGTGTGGGGTTGCAATGTTGTCCGTGTGCTTCCTAGCTCAAAGGGAGGTAGACAAGGAGCAGCAGAGTTCCCAGACCATACAGTGCATCCAGCAGTGTGGGTTGTGGTGGCTGGGGAGAGCTGCCTCAGCAGCTGTGGTTCTAGTGTCTTACCACCTTTTATCTGTCTTCTTGCAGGAAAAGCTCAAGTATTTCCCTGTGTGCGTGAGCACCAAAATTCACCAGGAGGATGATGCAGAAGAAGGCCTTGGCAGCCTTCCCAGGAACATCAGCTCCCTCAGCTCCCTGCTACTCTTCAATACCACCGAGAACCTGTGAGAGCTGGAGCAGTGCTGTGCTGCTCACCTGCCCCTGCTTGTCCTCAGAGGAGCTTTCCCTTCCCCAGGAGTTGCAGTGACTGCTTGCTTTCCTGGGGCTGTTACCTATCAGGCTCTTGACAGGACAGGATTTGATACCTCTCTGCTGGTTTCCAGCTGGGAACCTTGCCTTCCCCGCTCTTTGCCTTGGGTGGAAGCAGTTATTTTGTCTGCACCTGATCCTCTGCTCACCTGATTCAGTCCAATTTTGGACTTTCTTTTGCTTAGTTCTTCCTATTGTTTCTTTGCAATTTCTCTCCAGCCTTGAGATATGCTATCACTCCTGCCCTTCTCTGCCCTGTGTGCCAGCCTAGGTACAGCGTCTTCTCCTGACAATTCCTCACAGCATTACTCTACTGCTTTAGCTGCTTTAATGTCTCCACCACCTCCCTTACTGCAGTGTCCTTTGCCACTGGGCTTCTGCATCATGGTTCTTCCTTCTGCTCTTATTGAAGAGCTACTTTATGCTCTTCTTGAGCTTTCAGCTGCTGGACCTTCTCTTTCTTCTCCTGAACCATGGATCATTTCTCCATTTTGTCTGTCCTCCTGGACCTTGAGTGATGAGTCACTGGTGTCCTGCTGCAGACTGTAGGATGGTTTCAGGCCAGGTGGTGGAAAGGGGAGAGCTCAGTTATGGTGGCACTACAGTGGGGCTTTGCTTTAGAATTAGTCTGGAGGCTGCACAGGCAGGGTGGGGGGCTGGTTGCAAAGAGGAAAAATGGGAAAATTTAGCTTAAAGAAGGAACCTGGAAGGCCCAACATGTTCCATCTTTATGAGTGAAGTCAGGTCTCTGCCTCCAAGGCCCTCTTGTGTACAGTTTCTTCTGGCCTTGGCTCTCAAGGCAGCATTACTAAAATACCTGTTTTCTGCCCTTAGGTACAAGAAGTATGTTTTCCTGGATCCTCTGGCTGGAGCAGTGACCAAGACCCATGTGGCTCTGGAAACAGAGACAGAAGAGAAACTCTTTGATGCACCTCTCTCCATCACCAAAAGGGGACAGCTGGACCAACAGGTGAGATGCAGCTGCTTACACTTCAGAGGGTTGTGCTCAGTTCTCTGAAAAGAAAGGGCTTTGATAGGGTGATGAGCAGGTATGACAATAGCCCCTTACAGGGCTGCAGATTACCTCATTTCTCAGAAGGGCCTTGCCTGGTTTTGTGCTTGAGGTCCTGGTGTGAGCTTGATGGATGAGACAAAGGCAATTTCTCTCTGCTCAAGCCTTTGTTGAGTGGTGAAAGGAGAATAGTGGGGTGTGGACTCACCTTGCTGCGTGACCTCAGGGCTGCAGCAGGGTTTGGAGGATCTACCACTTGATCAGCCCGGTGGTGCCAACTCCTGAGCCTCATGTGAAGTCTGAGGTGCCACTGCTAGAAGGTCCCTGGGGTGAAGTGTGATCCCCATCATTCCTGCTGGAAAGGGGTGCCTCTGGTGCAAACAGAAGGGCCAGCCAGGCTGAGTAAAGGGTTGTGTGCTTGGTGTACACATGGGACAGGCAGTGCACCAACCCAGTTGCCCCAGCATGTGACTGGTACCTGGCACCTTATAGAGGCCAGTCGTGGGGTGTACCAGGAATGTCATTAGAGTGTCATTTGGGACTGGGAAAAGGAGCCTGGGAATCATTTGCTCATCATATTGGACTGGAGGATATAATGTACATAATGAACAAGCTCTTTATTTACAGTGCAGCATCACTGCAGTGTTGCCTGTGTGTTAAACACAAAAGCAAACCCCTGTAACTACTGAGTTGTGCTTCTGCATTTTAATCTTTGAAATGGTTCAGACACTATCCTCTTCTGGAGGAGAAGGGACCGGTTTATTTAGGCTACAGCAATTAGAGCATGAACCTTCAGAGTTCACTTGCTACTATGCAACTAAGAAGAGTCCTGCACTTCTTCCTCCTGCAGTCTGCCTTTCCCAAGCCTGGTCTGCAGGAAGTAGCTTCTGAGCATAGAGGTGTAGGGGTAACTGATGTACCAAGGTATGCCTGCCCAGCTCTGACCGCTGCCTAATTGTTCCCTGCAGTGCCCCTGTTTGCAGCAAGCACATAGTCACTGCCTTACCTTGTTGGTTTGTGTTTCTTTAGGTTGCTGAAAATTACTTCTACGTGCCAGATCTGGGCCAGGTCCCTGAGATTGATGTGCCCTCCTACCTGCCAGACCTGCCTGGCATTGCTGCAGATCTCATGTACAGTGCCGACCTGGGCCCTGGCATTGCACCCTCTGCTCCCAGCAGCGCTATTCCAGAGCTGCCCACTTTCAACACTGAGTCGGTCGAGCCTTTGCAACCAGGTATTTTCAATCCCTGATCCCAGGACCCTATGAAGGAGGAAGGCAGGGATTGCCAGAAAGTGGAGACAAAGCAGAAAGTCCCTTGGTAGAAATTTTAAGATGGATGTTGGCTGGATGATGGATGTTGCACTTCAGGCTTAGACCTGAGTGAATGCTGCAATCTGCTCAAGTTCTGTCCTGACTGCAACCCCTTTAGCTCCCTCCCCATCTGTATGCATGGCTAGGGAGGAGGGAGCACAGTGTGCAAGGACTGGGTGTGTGTCAGCCTGGTGGGATGCCCTTGTGCGAGAGGGATGCAGCTGGGGAGGGAGAGTAGGAGAATCTCAGACTCTTGCCTTGGCCCTGCCTGCTGTTACGAGAGGGTGCACAGGGCACAGGAGTGCAGGTGCTGAGGACTCTGATCTGTTGCTGCTGAGGTGTGTGAAGCTGTGAGCTGAAACACTTGATGTGCCATCCTCTGCAACTCTTCAGATAAAGCTTCTTTCATATTTCAGATCTTCAAGATGCTGAGCTACTGCCACCTCCTCCCCCTCCGCCTCCCCCACCACCTCCTGTTTTGCCAGCTCCAGTGCCTCCTCCACCGCCCCTGCCCCAGCCCACAGCACCCTTGGAACCGGCTGGCACAGTGAGCGAGGAGAGCAGCAATGCAGTGCCTGCAGGTAAGGGCTGCACTCCTCCACAGCTGCACCAGCCTCCTGGCCTTCAGCTGTGTCCTTGGGGCACCCCCTGTACCTTCCCAGCCTTCCAACAGAGGGTGGGGAGCTGCAGTGGGAAGAGATGCTGTCAAGGTACTGGAGTAGCCCTTCCCATGAGAATTTGGTTGGGCCTGTAGCTGATGCACTGACCCATGTCTGCTGCCTGTCCTTCCTGTCCCTGCAGCTTCAGTCCAAGGAGCCCCAAAGGAGGTGGTGAACCCCTCTACTGGGCGTGCCAGTCTCCTGGAGTCCATCCGCCAGGCTGGGGGCATTGGGAAGGCCAACCTTCGCAGCGTCAAGGAGAGGAAACTGGAGAAAAAGAAGCAGAAGGAACAAGAACAAGGTCCTTGAGGCTCTTTTGGCAGAACTGCTTTTCCTTGCCCAGGCTGGAGAGGTGTGGGTTTGGGGGCAGATGGGCAAGTCAGGAGCACAGTCAATTCGCAGAGCAGAAGGGAGTTGTCTCTCCTCACAGGCTGATCTAGGTCTCAGGTGTTCACCATTCAGCCAGAGCTTTGTGAATGTGCTAAATCCCACTGGGCCAAAGGGCATCTGTTTCAGGGCTTGTGGAGAAGTTTCACATGTGGTGCACAGGACCAGGCACACAAATGAGACCTGGGCATCAAGTGAGACAGGGCCAAACAAGTTTAAGTACCTTGGTTGAGGTAGCTGGGGAGGGGATTGATGGAGCTGCTATGGCAGAATGAGGCTGCAAATGCACAGCCCCTGAATGAATTCCACTCTTGGTTTCCCCCAGAACATGCCATTAACCCTGTTGTGCCTAGTGTTTTCCTGCACTGAAAATGCACTGTAGTTTTGGGGTGTCAAATTAGAGGTTTGGAGTTTTTTCATTAATCTGAAGACAGTATTGCAGGGAAATGCTTTTGCCATAGTGCTTAGCTCAGACTAATCTTTCTTCATTGACATGTTCTGCTGTTTCAGTGAGAGCTACAGGACAAAGTGGAGATTTGATGTCAGACCTCTTCAACAAGCTGGTGCTGAGACGCAAAGGTACTGTCCTGCAATGTGAGCTGCTCCTTTCCCTGAGGAAAGGTGGAGAGCACTCCCTGGCACTCAAGTTGTGTCAGCCACAGACTTGGAAACAGCAAGAGATTTTCCTGGGCAGTGTACCACTATAGCTGGGAGTGTCTTTACAGAGAATGAGCAGAGCAATCTCCACCTCAGGTCCAGCTGGAGGCATTGGAGGGGTCTGTGCGTTTCAGAGGATGGAGCCCGAAAGCTACCTGTGAAGAAGAGGCAGCAGTATTTTTTTAATCCAGTGCTCAGGAAACTGGGCCCACTGCCCATATGGGCACTTGAGATGCCCTGAGGCCATGGCAGGTTCCTGGGGCATTTAGATCAAAGATCACACCTCAGCACTGGGCACATGACAGCAGGGACTTGCTCAGCAGAGACAGGTCAGGGAGCTGTAGTTAAACGAGACCTTGGCACAAGTCTGTGGCAGCATTAAACATGTTGGCTGTTCTGGTTACCTGGGTGGTGAGAATGGCTTTCCCCGTCCCCTTTGCTGAATCTCTTTGGTCTCTAGTCCCCAGGTGTCACTAAGTGGTGATTTTCTTCCCTCACAGGTATTTCAGGGAAAGGACCGGGAGCCTCTGGGAATGCCGATGCTCCTGGCAGTCCTGCTGGTGCCTTTGCTCGTATGTCAGACTCGATACCACCCCTCCCACCTCCGCAGCCGCCCGTAGGTGAGGAGGATGAGGATGACTGGGAGTCATAGATGGGATTCATTAAGAATTAGTGTGGAACTGTTGCTGTCTGAAAAATTTCCATGAAGTTGAAGGAAACAAGTCCTTACTGCCTTCACTTTGGTAAAAGGGGGAAGTGTCATCAATTAAGAGTGTGTAAAGGGAATGTGTAAAGGGAAAGCCCAGCTGTCCAGTCTTACAGCCCAGCACCACCAGCCATAGGCTAGAAGCAGGTGCTCCCCTCCCTGAAGCCAAAGCTTGTGCAGACAATAAGGTTTAGACCTACTCAAGGGGCAGGTGAGTCACGATGGAAGTTTCTCAGAGGCAGCTGTTTCTTTCCTTGTGGGGCTAATTAAAATACAGGGAGCGGGTAACAGCTCTGTGCCACAAAAACCTTCTTCCTTGTGAAGAGCCTGGAGAGGTAGCATCCAGCTGCTGAAAATGGAAAAGAAGCAAAGGAAGCTCTTGGGACGAGGCTTGCTCAGGATGACAGAGGTAGCTGGGAGCAGCTGAGGGATTATGTGGCTGTCCCTGGTGTTACTGCTGCCCTCCAGCACTGACCCATAACCCTGGAGAGAACCCCAGGAAAGTTAAATTTAAAAAGTTATTTGAATTCAGAAACATAGCGGTTAAAAAGAGCAGACCAATTCTGTACTTAAGCATGATCAAAGGAGAAGTGCTGTATTGTGGCCATATCTTTATTCCCCTTGAAAGAATTAACTGCTTCAACCTATTGCCTGCTTGAAGCAAGGCAGAAAGAGGGTGAGAAGAAATGTTGCCCACAGCTGCTCCATCACCGCTCTGTGTTATTCCAGTATGACATAAATTAGTGGCCTGCTAGTTTACAATTCCTGTGAAAAGCTCACTGATGGCATTGGTCAGTCAGGCCTCCTACACTTGGTGGTTGATGGGGAAAAAACCGTATGTGTTCAGTGAAAATAATTACTCCTGAAACTTAAGTGTACTTAAATAATACTCACCATACTTGAGTGTTTTTATTGAAAGTATTTAATCAATTTAAATAAAACCTTAACAGCTGTAAACAAGTGGGTGCCCGCTGCTACTCTCTCCACCTGCCTCAGATCTACACCCAGTTTCCCTCCTGGCTGTGGTGCTGAAAGGCTGCCTCACCATCACAGCACTCAGATACTGAACAGCAAACATCCACAAAGGAGGCAGAGATTTTTATGAAGTCCATGGTACAGAAAGGCAGCAACTTGTGTTATGTTACCTAGTCTTCAGAGGTGTAACTCACAATGACAAATACCATCTGTTCTCTGGTCCACATCACAAAGCATCCAACTTGCCTCGATGGAACTGGGAACACACAAAACCAGGCAGTTTGTCCTTGGCCTTACTCTAAAGGGAAGGCTTGAGTAAGGTCCAGATGAGGACAGTGGGGAACAGTGTTGGTAGACATAAGATATGACGAGTTCTGACCTTTCTTAACTCAGCAAACGCTGATCCAAAGGCAGGTTTCACCTGGGTCCTCTCCCTGATCCACTGGGGCAGTTTGTTAAAGATGGCAGGGCGTGCATACCTGTGGTCCAGGAGCAGGATGCTCGCAAAGTCCTTCTGATGGCGAATGGCTCTGCCTGAACAGAAGATAAAAACAAGGAATAGCCAAGTCAATTGTTTGTTCTCAGACAAGGAAGATCGCATTCCCATCATCTGTAATGCATCCTTTTTCCTACCCTCCTCCTTCAGTGTATTTTGTATCCCCCAGCCTGTCCAAGGGAGGATGAATTACCTATCGACTGGTTTACTGCCTTCATGCACAGGTTTTCAATCAGCACTTTGCTCGGTGCCTGGCCAGCAGCTCTGGGCTGGAAAGAAGAAATAGGCAAGTCTGAACACAAGGCAGATGTAAATCAAATTTTGGAGAGTCTTAATGGCTAAGTGAGGTAAATACTTTTACCCCTGCAGCGTGAGCGGGTGGCCAGGCAGACCCCAAGCTGAGTGTAAGGAGGAACAGAAGAAAGGTCGCAGTTAGAAAACTGTGTTGAGCGTTCACAAAGAGCCAACCCAAGGTCCCCTTGAAGGCAGAAATCTTGTCCCCAGGAACAGCACCTCCAGTGAGCAATGAGAAGGGACAAATTATCCTGGCAAGCAGCTTCTACTACCCTGCCACCCCCTCTGGGTTGAAGGGTCCTTGCTCCCCTTGGAATTCAGAGTTGCCAGCAAGTCCTGGTGGCATTTCCCTCCACTGAACTCTCTCCCTGTGTTTAGGGCCACATGTTCAGGAGCAGGCTGCAGAAGGCTGTGCTCTCAGTACCACACTGTCTGGGAAATGAGGGTGAGCTCAAAGAAAATAAAACCTCTCAAGGCAGCTCTGGGACTTATGTGCTGGGAAGTTAGTACTATAAAGCAAAATTGAAAGAGACAGAGGTGTAAGTGGCTCTTACCATTGTTTTGTCAAGCCAAGTCATTTTTTCCTGGAGTTCTGGAGATCTAATGTTGGGGTAAGGCATTCCCACCATAATCACACACCTGCAAGGGAGGACTGCATTATTCTTAATGTCTCATCCTAGAGCACTTTGCCAATAGACTGATAAATTAGAGGTCACTGCACCCCTGAAAGACAGCCAGCCATGCAAACCAAAGGCAGCAATAAAGCACAGCAGTCTGACAAGCACGTGCTGAACAGAGCTGCAGAGGGATTCAGAGTGCCAGAACAAGGGATAATCTAGTACAGCAAGCCTAACTGCATTACTCACGGGAAGAGTGGCCTGAACAGGTGGGTTTTACACCACCCAGCAGACCCTCCTGTTGCTTTAAGCATCAGCTAAGTCACACAGGCCCCAGGATTTTCTACCTATGCAAGTACTGATGTGCCCATTGTACTTGGAGTCACTATACCGCAAGCCAGAGCTGGCTTTCCAAGGAGCAGTCACCTTACCTTCCCAGGTCATCGGAGAAATTTATCCCTTCACTCATTTTGCCTCCAACTACAGAAAGCAGCAGGGCCCCGGTCATCTGTCCTCCCGTCTGGCTACAGCGCTGCAGGAGAAGGACCAGCAACTTAAACCAGAGCTGGGAAGATTTCTGTGCTTCAGAAACACTCCCACACCTAGGATAGAGGCCTTTTTGCTTGTTAGAAGTGCCCTCCTTTGCAGCATTCCCATTCCCACTGGGCTGTCACACTCCCACCAGCCTGCCTGCTCAGCTTACCTTTATGCACTTGGCATATTCCACCAGCACCTGCTCCACCTGGTTGGCTTTCTTAGGCTCCTGAAAGATCTGTCAGGCACAGTTCATCAGTTACAGTAAAAGGAAACAGTTTAAAGAAAGCAAATAATTTTATCCCCATGCCATTAAACAGCATATGGAACTGAGGTCACAGAAGGGAAAATTGCCTGAAAAACTAACTTAACCAGTACCTTCCCTCCACTCTGAAAATGCACTACAGCTCTTTTCAGCTGGCCTCTGAAGGGAGCAGCAGCTGCTTCTGCCCCTTCAAGATTCCCTTTCAGCTTTGGCAGACTGATTCAATACTGCAAGAAGTCATCCAAGAGCTGAGAGGCAGAAAAGCAATGTGCACCTCTTGCACCTATGAACCAAGACTCTCTGGGGTCAGGAGACTTGACAGCTGCAAAATCTTGGAGGACAGGAACAGGACCAATCAATTTGAATCATCAATTCATTCCAAGCAGCAGCTCCCCTTGCCCAGTGAATAAATAAGCTTTTCATGCAAAGCATAAAAAAGTAGTATTTCTTTATGTTATTCTAGCAGACCTAATTAGTTACTGAAAACCTCTGCAGCTAATTCAGCTGTGTTTGTATAGGTGCTGTACCTTGGCATAAAACACAAGTAGTTCTCCTAGTAAACAAGAGGTCCAACATAAATCTTCTTTGTAACGGTAAAAAAACCTACAGAATGTGTTTTCCTTTGGTTAGCAAGAAGTAATATAAAATTTTACCAGTCAAAATCAGCCTTTCAGTAGAAAAAAAATTGGCAATTGCAGGTATAACCCAAAACTAACTTATTGAAAAGTAGCTATTTAAGCCTCTGATTTAAATTAACTTTTCCTCTGTTATTTATATATAATATAAATATATATATAATTTAAATATAATCTCGGCAACTTCAGGAAAGCCTTGAACCTTCCCTTCCTAAGATTTGATCTTGTGTGTGGGCAGTTGAAAGTCACACTTGCTGCATTTATACCAAACTGCCTTGTTAACACATATCCAATTTGCTGAAGACTATAAAGGCCAAACAAGAACTAATCAGAGTTGAAAGTTGGAACAAATTGTGTGTGGCCCAAAGCCTTGGAGAAACCAAGCAGAGCACTGGGACTCTGACAGGACACACCTCAAAGGGACTCAGAACTCTACAAACACAGAGAAAATAAAGCACAGTGCTTCCACCCAAAAACCTACCAGCTGCCCCATGTGCCAGAATGTCAAGAATCACCGAGGCTGTGAAATACCTGGGACTGTGGGAAGTTGTTTAGCTTTCGGTGAACAGAAGTCACAGCCAGGGTGTATGTAATGTTTTTTTCCCCTGGCACAGGATCCAAGATCCCTGCACTGCAACCTGAAGTGCCTGACTTTCAATACTCTGCTTCCAAATACATGAGAGTCATTGCAAAGATTTTATATTTGCAGTGATCTCCCTATTTAATGTTTCTCTTTGCTCCTTCAATAGGAGTCACCACTGCTAGTCTTCCAGTTCTCATCTTTACTTCTAGCAGATAGCAAAATGCCATTTGTCTTATGAACTGCAGTGCTGTCTCACTCTGCCTAGCCCTTGGCCCTGCTGGTCTGTGCTCAAGGGACACACAGATGAGCCCAGGAAAAACAAAGTCCCTGTAGGAGCTGAACCCGAACAGCCTCCCCAGCCACAAGAGAATAAGCCTGCTGGCTACAGGAAACAAAGACTGTCTGCCCCCATGGCCCCTACACAGACTGTGCACTTCAAGAATGTATAGCTGCAATCAATCTCATTTAGATCGCAGCTCAGTGCTCAGCTGCCCGGGAAGTATCATTTATTCTTTACTGGAGGGATTAGCTGGATAAAGATCCATTTTGCTCTGCTGTGCAGACTATGGGAACAACTCTGAGAGAGGCCTGGAATGCATATGGAATTGTTTGGGTTTTGACACCTCCATGGGAAGTACCAAGTGCCCTGGCTGCACAATCACCTTCTTCTTGGCTGCCAGGCGGGAGAGCAGCCCTGTCTTCTCCCAGTGTCCATACACCTGCTTCTCATATTCATAGGATGGAAAGAAGCACACCACACCTCCCGGGATCACATTGCACAGGTTGCAAAGGATTCGACCTGTCTCATCCATCTGCAAGAGAGATTAAAGCACAATGCAGCTGACAGGACCCCACCTAATGCTGCTCCAATTCTCTCTTCAACCCCGGGATCACACCTTCCTTATGACATGCCTTAGGGGAGGAGTAAATGTGGGAAACGTGCCAGGTCTGTGACAACTCCCATGGGGAGCTGGGCATCACTAAAAAGCTCTTCACTGCTTGGCTATCTTCCCTAGCCCAGGGTTTCTGTTGTGGCTGTGGAGCCGTGGTCATTCAGGAAAGGCAGGTTTGCCTCAGTGGATGGAAGCTGTCCCACTAGAACAGATGTTGAGAGCTGGTTAGCACATCTGGTTGAGATTCAGCAAGGGCAGAGCAGACTTAGTGACTGGCCTTGGGTGCTTACTGCCCTGCCACAGGAAGAAGGAAGTGCCAAAACACCTGCAGCTGCTCCTGTGGTTTGGGATTTCCTTTGCCATGGCTTTTTCTCAGCCCACCTCTTAAACAAGTGTACCCTGCTCTGAAACATAAGCATGTGAAGCAAAAAGGACATCCCAAGGAAGGGAACAAAGGACAAACTGACCATCTGAGGCAGGTCTCTGGTCTGATAAGTGAACTCCAGCTGCTGGTTGGAAGGACCACTGCAGAGGATGATGGGTAAAATATTTTCTGGAGGAATCACATGTCCTGGAGACAAAAACAAGTAGTGGGAGTCAACATCTCTGCTGTTGGCACAAACCCCATGAGCTGAAGAACTTTAATTGCCTTTGAGTGACAGAGGCCAGCGTTTGGCTGGCTAAGCCAAAGTGCCTAAGTCACTCAGCTGCTCCAACTTCCATCCCCTCAGCCCCTGGGAAGGAGGCATGCCAATGGCCTCACTGCCTGCCAGTACCAGTCAGGACCACAGGGGAAGCTCAGAGTGAAAGGGAAGTCACAGCCCTTTGCTGCCCTGATTTTTATGAAAGATGCCACGCTGCTTTGAGTGCTGACAGAACAGTGTTAAAGGCAAACTGCAGCCCTTGCAGCCGCTGAGCCCTCCCTGCCAGCCCGGCACACTCACCACAGGAGAACTCCA